CAAGTCTCTGCCTCTTCCTTCAACAAGTGGGTTGGCATTTGGCTGATAGGCTCAGAACTGCCAACATGTTGTATCCCTGTTCTGAAAGTAGAAAATTATTCATGCTTCTAAGAATGCTTTTCACAGCCTGCTTTCTTCCTGTCAGTTTAAACAACTTGTCTCTACCCTGAAAATTCTTATGTCATTCTTCTCCACGCTGCTTTCCCGAGCTCATTCAAAGCATTGATTATGTCCCACTAGGAAGATAAATAAAGCCCGAGTGCTATACAGCGGTTCAGAGAATTCAACCTCCTTCACTCACCTCCTGACATGTGTTCATAGAAAGGAACTCTGGCTTAGGGAAGACAGAGGCAAAGCCATGAATCTTTCCATGTGAAGCACAGCAATTTCTGTCTGTTTGTGTGGCAGACAGAAGAGCAGGGAAGGCACACAGATGAACACATGTGAGAAGCAGGCCATAAAACTATCTGCATGTTTTAAGATGCAAGGCACATGAAAGCAACCTCTGTCAAACTCTAAGACTGGCCCTGTGGGCGGGTTAGCCGGACGGAAAAATGAGAGACAAATCGCTGCTTAGGTCAGAGAGAGTATGCCTGAGAGTGTTGAAAGTATGGGTAGGAAGCTGCTTATGATGGTAGACCTCTGTAATTCCAGCACCTGCGACACAGAGGCAGGAGGATTAGAAATCAGAGACTAGCCTGACCTACAAAAAATAGGTCTAGAATCATATTTAAAAGGGGATGTGGGTTAGAGTTGTCTCAGTTGATGTAACAGTTGGCCTAACAGACACAAGACATCCAACCTCTGCAGTGCATAAACCACACAGGGTAGAGCAAACCTTAATCCCAACACTGTGACAGACAGAGAGAACATAGTAAGTTCAAGGTCTTCCTCAGCTGCACAGTGAGATAGAGTCCCCCCCACTTCCCACTCACCCCTGAATAGCTCAGACCTGTTCTCAGAAACACACAATAAACAGTGCAGAAGGATCTCCAGCATTTCTTACACTTAGCACGCTCTGTTGTACAAAGTGTTCTCTTCGCAATCCAGGCGGTGATCCTGCCTGGTGAGGTGAGGTGTCTTGTTGTGAGATGAGACTGGCTTGGTGTCATACCTAGCAGAGCTATGTGTTTTAATTCCTTTACATGCATTTCTTTCCGGTACACGGCAGCCATTGTCTACAAATAACATCAACAAGTGGATGTGACTGAGGCAAGTCTTGGGTTGCCATGCATACTCCAATAAACAGAAATTCGTGCAGCCAACTTTGAGGGCCTGCTACAAAAGTGCAGGAGCCCTGTCCAAAACTCCATGCCAAGATATAGTACCTGTGCCAAAGTGAAGGACAGAACTATTCACCCTTGTGACTCAAGAGAAAAGAGTCATCCATACCTAAATGCTCGCCTGTTCCTCATGACTAAATGCTTGCAACATACACAGGGAAATATATTTTAAAGCCTTGTCTTTAGAAAGTTTTTCTTATGCAACAAAATTTAATTCTGTCCATTCAACTAACTAAAGGTCAGGGTCATTTAGGACTTTTCTCTGGTTTGTTTTACAGTCATGAGTGGAATAAGAAAAATGTTAAAGTGAAACACAGAACCCCTAAATGTTAGTGAGAAAGGGACCTTGGCAATGAGCTAATTCAAATCTCCAAGGAGGGTGGATCAGCATCACATAGATAAATGCTTGGAATAGCCACTTCCTTTGCCATGTGCAAACATAAGCCTGCTTGCTGCCAGAAACAGTTTGGCTCTACTGGCTCTGGAGGCCAATCCAAGGTAACAGATTAAAAATCTGAGTCTGTCATGCCCTAACTTATGCATGGCCCTAAGTCAAACAGTACACTTGTCATCAGGCTTCATTGTACTTAGTGTAAATATTCATGTTTAGAAGCTTATCCTATAGCGCTGAGCAAAATTTCACATTTATTGAATTAAAAATCTCTCCAATAAAATAATAAACATTCATTTGTTTGTTGCTCTACAAAAATCACCTTTGGCATATATGGAGTAATTTGTCTGAAAAACTGTTTTTCTGGGAGAACTCCAAGCTTCCCAGGATATTTAAAATAAACGATTCCTCCAAACTGAGAGCAAATGGGTTCTAACAGATTGATTTCAATATGAAATAGAAAATAATGCACTTAAGTGCCTTTGGTTTCCTTAATGTACATGTGGGGTTGCTAGGAGCTTAAATGTTTGGGTTTTCCTACAATAATCCCCTTTCTTTAAGAATATGTTCTGGCCTGTTTCACATGTATGCTAACTTTCCAAGTGTTAAAATGAAGCCATCTTTATCAGGTTGCAAACACCTACACACTAGATTGCCTTAATCTTACACAGCATTTCAGAGTTTTAAGAAAATGAATAAGAAATAAAATGGCTTATAAACCTAATTCTGTGAAGACAAAGAAAACTGAAGACCTCCTTCTTTGTCCAGAGGTCAGAAGATAGGGTCTAGGCAAGTGGCTCAGAGGTGAAGTGCATGCCTAGCATGTGTGAGATCCTGGGCTTGACTCCAGCACCACACTTAAAAAAAAAAAAAAAAAGTTTAGAAATAGTAAGATGGGTTCCTTTGCATTTCTGCTTTTCTTCTTTCCCTCTGAAGTGACAAATATCAGTAAAAGGCATAGAAACGGTCATGGGGAGAGACTCAGTATGGAAAAATCTAGAGTACAAGTTTCTGTAAAAGAGTGATAGAAGAAATCCCAGTATTAAAATGTTTAGAGTAGGGTGTGGTAGCATATGCCTGTGGGACTCAGAGGCAGGAAGTTCAGCAGTAAAAGGCAGCCAGGGTTATCCAGTGACTTCTAGGCCAGTGTCTGCTACATACTGGGACCCTTTCTTTAAAAATTAAAAAAAAAAAAAAAAAATTTTTTTTTTTTAAAGCCACAGTGTGTTAATAAGAGTGCGGTCTCCTAGGAACTGCACAGACAGACCTGGCTTTTTTATGTTAGAGCATGAGAACAGGTAGGGGGTACCCAGTGAATTCAGAGACAGGACAGTGTAGGTATTCCCTTCCATTGGCCGATAAAGGAGGAGCTTCAAGGGGAACATTCCTAACTTGTCTGCAGACAATAGTCTGTAACCCACAGGCTCATCTAAACAGAGATTCTTATTAGTTTTTCAGCTTCCATAAGTCTCTTAGATGAAGACAACTCTTTTTGGGATTCACTGGCCCATCTCTTCAAAGCAAAAGTTAATTTGTTTATTTCTTTATACTGAAAACTCATACAGCTGCAGATGAGCAACACAATATACACTCATTGGTGATTTCATAGATCTCTCTCTCTCTCTCTCTCTCTCTCTCTCTCTCGGTCTCATATTGCTTTATTTGGCTTTTTTAAAAAAAATCTCAGTGGCTTTTTGATTGTATATTATGCCTTCCAGTTTCGTGTTTTTATGTTTATGTGTGTGTGTTTCTAGTGCTTTTTGCTTTTTTATTTTCCTGATTTATTTGCTTGACTGTTTTCTAAAGAGAGAAGAAGGTGTGGAGTTGGATGGGTGGGGGTTCATGAGAAGATCTGGGAGGAGAAGGAGCAGGGAAAACTGCCTTAAGTGAAGATTTCTGGATTTACAGATTCCCTACACACCCTTTTTGACCTTTGTGTCACTACACTGAGGTCCGGGTCAACAATCTGGGTATATTTTAATCCATATAGCAATGTCTGCATGGTATGCAGTTGTTGCAGCAACCATGAAGTAGCCATGACCATGCATGCATTCAACATATTTGCAAACCAAGACACAGAAAGGTTAAGTGATTTAGCTGAGCTCTCACAGTAAGTGGAATAGCCCGTGCCCAAACAGTAGACTCCGAAACTCAGTTATAGAAATCCTCTTCTTGCTTCTTTCTGCTACTGTCCTCTTTCTTGCCTTTGTGCTGACCTTCCCTCAGCCTGGGGCATTTGTGTGTCCTTCACTGACGTCTCTGTCCGTTCTTCAGAGTCTTCATGAAAACTGTCTTCCTCAATGAAGTTAGCACATGATCTTCTCCCCATGTGATGTTGGCCAGAAATCTATACGTCAGACAAAGCCTACCCCTAATTGCTTCTCAGATCAGTGCTGACCAATGAGAAGTGTTTGTTCTTGGGAGTATGTCTCTTCACATTTGGGTTCTGCATTGCTGTGCACAGATGTAAAAGTAACACTTTGAGATTCTTTATCAAGCTGATATAGCATGCAAGATAATTTTCACTCAAGCATACACAAACCAGGTGGCTATGAAAAAAGGGGCTCACATAGATGAGAGAGAAGAGATGATTACCCCCAAGAAGCTATGACAACTTAACGGAGCCTTCATTCAATCAGAGATAACCCACATCTCAGACAGTGGCAAGTAGGGAGAACTCAGGTCTTGTCAAATTGCTGAAATCTAAAAGTGCACGAGGCTGTTAAGCAACGTTAACTCATAAAGAGTGGAAGTGTTTTTATTCCTTCAGGAACTCTAGGTTGTAACATTGCCCTCTCTGGAATAACTAAGAACATTCTCTGTCATTGAAAAACAGCCAGTGTCCCCAGTAAGGGGAACAGGGACTATTTCTGACATGAACTCAAATGGCTGGCTCTTTGACCTGCCCCCTACCCCCACCGAGGGAGGAACAGCCTTGCTAGGCCACAGAGGAGGACATTGCAGCCAGTCCTGAAGATGCCTGATAAGCTGGGGTCAGCTGGAAGGGGAGGAGGACCTCCCCTATCAGTGGACTTGGAAAGGGGCAGGGAGGAGATGAAGGAGGGAGGGTGGGAATGAGGGAAGGGACTACGGCTGAGATACAAAGTAAATAACCTGTGATTAATAAAAAAAAAATTATGAAAGGAAGAAAGAAAGAAAGAAAGAAAGAGAGAGAGAGAGAGAGAGAAAGAAAGAAAGAAAGAAAGAAAGAAAGAAAGAAAGAAAGAAAGAAAGAAAGAAAGAAAGAAAGAAAAACAGCCAGTGTATATGTGTTTGCCAGAGCAACAAAGGGGATTTGCTAATTTGGTCCTCCTTCTTCTTTCCAGATCCTGGCCATCGTGTCTATCCTGTTCATCGTACTTTCTACTATTGCTCTGTCTCTCAACACACTTCCGGAGCTGCAGGAAAACGATGAATTTGGGCAACCCAGTGACAACCGCAAGCTGGCACACGTAGAGGCTGTGTGCATTGCCTGGTTTACCATGGAGTACCTTTTACGATTCCTGTCCTCACCGAATAAATGGAAGTTTTTTAAAGGCCCACTGAATGTCATTGACCTGCTGGCCATCCTGCCATACTATGTCACCATCTTCCTCACCGAGTCCAACAAAAGTGTGCTGCAGTTCCAGAATGTGAGGCGTGTGGTCCAGGTCTTCCGGATCATGCGCATCCTCAGGATCCTGAAGCTGGCCAGACACTCGACGGGCCTGCAGTCCCTGGGCTTCACCCTCAGGCGGAGTTACAATGAGTTGGGCCTATTAATCTTATTTCTGGCCATGGGGATAATGATTTTTTCCAGCTTGGTGTTTTTTGCTGAGAAAGATGAAGACGCCACCAAGTTCACCAGTATCCCTGCATCGTTTTGGTGGGCCACCATCACCATGACCACTGTGGGCTATGGTGACATTTACCCGAAAACACTGCTGGGGAAAATTGTGGGAGGCCTCTGCTGTATTGCGGGGGTACTGGTCATCGCCCTTCCTATACCCATCATTGTAAACAATTTCTCCGAGTTCTATAAGGAACAAAAACGCCAGGAGAAAGCTATTAAAAGGAGAGAGGCTCTTGAAAGAGCCAAAAGAAACGGAAGCATCGTCTCTATGAACTTGAAAGACGCCTTCGCTAGAAGTATGGAACTGATAGACGTGGCTGTGGAGAAGGCCGGGGAGTCAGCCAACACCAAGGACTCAGCGGATGATAATCACCTGTCTCCAAGCCGGTGGAAGTGGGCCAGGAAGGCTCTGTCGGAAACAAGCTCCAACAAGTCTTATGAGAGTAAGTACCAGGAGGTTAGCCAGAAGGACTCCCACGAACAGCTGAACAACACTTCTTCCTCCAGCCCACAGCATCTGAGCGCCCAGAAGCTGGAGATGCTCTACAATGAAATCACCAAGACACAGCCTCATCCCCACCCGGTCGCGGACTGCCAGCAACAGCCCGAGGGGCCATCTGCCTATGAGGAGGAGATAGAAATGGAAGAGGTGGTCTGCCCACAGGAGCAGCTGGCCGTGGCGCAGACTGAGGTCATCGTGGACATGAAGAGCACCTCCAGCATTGACAGCTTCACCAGCTGCGCCACTGACTTCACGGAGACGGAGAGATCGCCCCTGCCTCCACCCTCCGCCTCTCACTTGCAGATGAAGTTCCCCACCGACCTCCCAGGGACAGATGAGCACCAAAGAGCCAGGGCCCCTCCATTTCTAACACTAAACAGGGATAAGGGGCTTGCTGCCAGAGAGGCTTTACTGGATTGTGTCCCCATTGACGTAACCGTGAACCTCGATGCCGGGGCTTCCCATGGCCCTTTGGCACCCGACAGTGCCACCGACAGCCCTAAGAGCTCGCTGAAACGGGGCAACCCCCTCAAGTCCAGATCCCTCAAAGTGAACTTTCAGGAAAACAAAGGTAGTGCACCCCAGACCCCACCCAGCACAGCTAGGCCACTGCCGGTAACCACAGCTGACTTTCCGCTCGCCACCCCACCGCACATGAGTACCATCCTGCTAGAAGAAGCCCTCCCCCAGGGAGAGAGGCCCTTGCTGGGCGCTGATGTTTCAGCGCCCTGTCAGGGACCGTCCAAAGGGCTACCCCCTCGATTCCCCAAGCAAAAACTGTTTCCCTTTTCTTCTAGAGAAAGGAGGAGCTTCACCGAAATAGATACCGGAGAAGATGAAGACTTCTTAGACCTCCAGAGGTCAAGACCGGACAGTCAAGCGGACTCCAGCCCCAACTGCTTGGCAGAAAAGCCTGGCGATGCCAGAGACCCTTTACGAGAAGAGGGCTGTGTGGCCTCCTCCTCCCCCCAGAACACAGACCACAACTGTAGGCAAGACATTTACCAGGCTGTGGGTGAAGTCAAAAAGGACACTAGTCAAGAAGGGTACAAGATGGAGAACCACTTGTTTGCCCCAGAAATTCATTCCAACCCAGGAGACACAGGCTACTGTCCTACCCGTGAAACCAGCATGTGACTAGTTATAAAAGCAATAATGATAATTAAAAAAAAAACTTGGTTCTTTAAAAAATGCAATTAATAATGCCATGAACTAAAATATGGGAAATCCTTTCCCCTGAAAACAGCGTATAAAATGTTATTTTTGCATGGCATGAACGGTTTAGTTTAAGCACTGTTTAAATAAAGAATCAAGACTGCATTTTTGTAACAAACAAAACCGAGTCATGAACAGCGAGCAAATAAAGAGCTCTTAGGAACCAGTGCTCTGCCATGTCTGACATTTTTGATCCTTTCATTTCAAAGGTGTAGGCAGGTTTTCCGGTTTTAGCTTTTACATCACAATGAATTTTAGAATTTGCACATGAAAGGATGAAATGTCGTTGCATGTGTCCATGCTTGTGGGAAGTTAAGGTGCTTTGGGCTTGCAAAGTTCGTAACTCTGTAAATAGGCCTGGATGTAAAAAGTGGCAAGACCATATGGACACATGTATCTGAGACACAGGTGTTTCCTTCACAGCTACTGCCTGGAGGAGCTGTCCAGACTTCCTGTTGCAAAATTGCAACCTCTTCTTAGCCTACGCTTTGTGCATCTTGCTTTGGATTATGAAGTTCTTATGTTTGTTTTAAGGAATACAGTATTTTTATTTATTGGGGGTATAATTCAGAGGGTATGTTTATACGTGTTTTTATTTATTGGGGATATACTGGGGGTATGGGTTTCTTTTCTTTTTTCTTTTGTTTAGTTGCTGCATTTGTGATGTTATTTATAAATCATGGAAATTAGTAAGATTTAATGACCAGATATCAAATATTTGGAATTTAAGCTTGAACTTCTGCCTATAAAATAAACACCATGTCACAGAAAATACAGATATTTATTTTTCACAAACTTGAAAATGTACAGAAAGTCCTATAATAAAATAAAATTTCTAAATTGGTATTCCACGTTTGGAAGTCACCTTTAAAACAATACCCTTTGCCATTCCAATCATGGCTGTATTTTTTCTCTGGTGTCTAACATATGAGTAAAAATTTCCTGTTTTTTTTTTTTTTTTTTTTTTTAAAAAAAGGGAAATCCCATGAAATGACTTTTAGCAAACTAAAAGCAGAGTCTCTTTAACTGACAGAGCTGGTCCCAACATGAGTTACCATGCTAAGAGTCCAGGTCCAGAAATGGGCCACTAAATAATTCTCAGTATAGGGTAGGGTACAGGATGACAGTCCGCGTTGTGCAAGAACGTTGTTCTCCCAAGCATAGCCAGAGCACTCTCAGTAACTGCAGCAACCGGACAGGCTCTCTCAGTTTTCCAAGCCCTGAATGTCTAGAAGAGGTCAGGGCTTTTCTTGCTGAAAGCCATGCCTGGCGCTTTCTTACTGAGCACACTAAATGCAGAAGCCCCGGGAGCCGGAAGTTGCCCTCCTCATTGGACCCCTGAGGAGCAGCTACCAGCTGTGCGGTCTCCAGGATGGCTCTGCAACCTCTTGTGATCTCGCTTGCGTCCAAATGACAGCAAAGACCAAACTATTTCTAAGCTCCCTTAAGATTTCAAATTGGTGACTCCTTAGTTCCTTGGCAATGCTCAGGTTTTGCCTCAGCAAAATGCATTTTGTGCATATGTGTGTGTACAGTTCAGGGAAATGGGAAAACTGCCAGGAAAAACGGAAAGAAAGGCTAATTGTTTAAGGGGGAGGAAATCTAAATTTTGTTCTTTTTTAAAAGAAAAAAACATTCAGGAAAAAAAATAGCCCAATATTTAGAATCTAATATGCTTTTAGTATTTCCTAATTAACAGGATCTGGTCATTAAACCTTAGATAAGAAAACAAATTTTGATTTTTTTTTCCTTAAAATCTGAGCAGTCCTGATGCTAAGAATAATTTAAAACATTTCCTTTATCCCACATTTCTTAATGGTTTTCATGTTCGTTTCAAAACATAACCTTTAAGAGTGTATCATCATTGATCATTGATATTTATATTATGCGCACTTCTTTTGGTGTCTAAAGACTAAGTGTTGATCAGTTTTTGTAAATCTAGAGTATTTGAATTTTCTATATATAGTTTTTCAAAGTCAAGCAGGTATACCTATTGTTAGATGAGTAGAAAATAAGTTGCAAAGATCGTCTCCTTCATACAGCCTCATGAAGCAGTTCTTTTCTAACGTCTCCTATTGATGAATCTCTATTTTTTTTATTCATCTGGCCTCATAAGTGGACTTAGTGCCCTGCCATATGACCAGTGTTCCACTTTCCGTGTGTCTGTCAGGCCTTCTGCTGAAAACCCTGTTCCATAACGGTTATAATAGGACTCTTACCAAGTCTCTGCTGTTTTCCCTGGAAGCAATTTTTCTAAAAAGTCTTCCCTTTTCATTCTCAAGGTTTGTTCAGAAGATTTCTGTTTGAGTTTTAAATAACTTAGAAAACAAAACAAAATATTCCCTGAAATCTCATCTTTTGAGTCTTTCTAGTTCCTCTGAGCCAAAAGTCTTCAGGCAGGAAAAATAAATGACCCTTTTCCTCTAAGAAATCTTCAACTTCACTGTTTCACGAGGAGGTATCTACCAAAATTCACCTACCAAGCCCTTATAAGCTTCAGCAAATGGCGGCTAAGTGAGAGGAGAAAGTGGTACCTCTGGAAAGACCTGAAGACCACAATCAAGCATGAAGTTCTTTTGAGGTCTTTTATGTTCTACATTAAAAGTTCCTGCCCGTGCTGCAACATACTCCACAATATATGTTTTGGTAGTTTTAAATGGTGTTTTATATTACTCATCAACTAGTAAGACCGACAGTCTTACAACTTCAAATACCTCATTTGTATCCCTTGAAAAACATCACCCAAGTTTAGGAATGAGTACCTGAAGGGGCTTTTGGAAGGCTGTGTTTCCAAGAGTTGATTTCACCATTAGCTAGCTCAGTGACCAGGGATAAATGCCAATGAGAAAGGTTATTTGAATGACCTCAAAATAATGTGGTCCCTCAGATGGCTAAGCTGTTTCTGCTGGCTCTCTTAATTGATGCAAATTGCCGCAAGATGTTTTCTTCTCAAAAATAAGAGCATAGAAATGGGTATGCATTGAGTGCTGGTAAGGAGAGCATGCATGACACCCTGCTTAATGACCAACACTGCAGAAAGTGAAAGAAAGGGGAAAGAGAGGAAGAAATGAGGGATTCTGTGTATCTTGAGTATTTCCACCCATATGCCAGGTGGTTCCTTGGAATTGACTTAACTGTTCTCTAGACATTTCACTAGAAATTCCTTCACTCTGACATAGTCAACTATTTTGAACCAAATGTGATCAAGCACTGTCATGTTTTGACTAGATGTGGTAGCAGAGAGAGCTTGTGCCCAGGGTCTGTTCCCATGCACTCTTGTTAACATTCTTACCCTTGTGCTGGCCATGAAAATTTCACTATTGTCTTGAAATTAGAAATTAGAGACTAATGTAGAGACTACTTCACAGTTCCTTCGCTCTCCACAGCCTTCAGAAATGTCAGTAAAGACTAGACAAGTCTGTTCTTTGTTCGGTTCACACAGGTCACTGGTTACTGGAGGACTCTGACCTCAGACACACCATCTGGCTTTAAGACTGGCATCCTAATATACCATTGGAAAGTATGTTCAGCATCTAAAATTATGTAAATAAACAGGGAGTACATTGAAAATATGAAGATTTCATGTTTAAAGTAGCAAGAAAGTCTGCGGGATAGTAAGAGCCTGGTAGTTAATATAAGCCGCATTAGGCACTTACGTTTGCCAGTTGGGAAGTCTGGCCATTGTTTGTGTTGAGGCAGAAGACCTCAGAAAGTCACTTGATCTTCCTAAACAAAAGCAGACAGAGCTAAAATGATCTCCAGTCATCTCTCTCTTCCCTGCCAATCACAGTGGCCTGAGCAAGGGTCCAACTCTTAGCCTCCTGGGGATTCCTGCCACTTTCAGCTATACCACTGATTGAAGCTGAAGATATTTGGGGTGACTGCAAAAGAGTCACCTACCAGGCTGAAAAAAAACACCATCCAATGATCTTATCAGAGAACTGTCGAACGTAAATAAATTATATTACTTTCCCAGGGAACCTTTTTTTCCTAAGAAATAAATGAACTGTATAAAGCCTAATTTATAATTATATTTGAATTATGTTTAGTTTTCATTCTTGAAATGACAAATTGTCAATCTGATTGAGTGAAGTCGTGAACTATTTTTGTTATCTGGTAAATTAAAAAGTAATATTTCACAGCCAGGAATGTACCTCAGTGGTAGGACACTTGGCTGCCTGAGGCCCTGGGTTAGATCTCCAGTAACAAAAAAAAAAAAAAAAAGAGAGAGGGTGAGAGATTTTTTAATTAGATATCTTTCTTATCAAAATAGCTAATAATAATCTGTCACAGTAATGAGCACAAATTTTAATACAAGTGGGAAAAATTGAAAAATTTCACATTTATGAATATATTTTTTAAAGATTTATTTATTTATTATTTATACAGTATTCTGCCTGCACTTGCTGGGAACTGAACTCAGAACCTTTAGGAAGAAAGGCCAGTGCTCTTAACCTCCAAGCCATCTCTCCAGCCCGATGAATATATTTTAAAACAGCACATTTTAGTGCTTTTCTTCCCGCAGTCTCTTGGCAATGTTAAAGGGGTATATCATTATTCTCTGTTTAGTCCTCCAAATTCCTAACATTTCACAGTCAACATTCAAAAGTCCCTTGGCTTGACTCAAAGAATTGAATCACTAGGTCCATGGAGATTTGAGAGTGTATTGGTTATTTTGCCACTGCACTGTCTTCCTCAAAGTAGCAAATAATAAATAAATAAATAAATAAATAAATAAATAAATTGGAAGAAATAAAACAAACAAGAGAAAAAAATGAATTGGTTTGGTGGCACATTCCTTTATCCTAGCATTTGGGAGACTGAGATGGGAGAACCTTGAGTCTAAACACAGCTGTGGCGACATAGTGAATTTCAGATTAGCTTAGCTACATAGTAAGACCCTATCCCAAAGTGAAGAGGAGGAAAAGGTGGAGGGGGAAGAGGAGAAAGGGCAGCAGCAGCAGCAGCAGCAGCAGCAGCAGCAGCTGGACAAGGTGGTATGTTCTGGAGTCCCTGCATTCAGGAGGTAGAGGCAATCTTGAACTAATCTTGAGTTCAAAGCCAGCATAGTTTACATATTAAGTTCTTCTCCAGCCAGAAATATACAGTGGAGACACTGGAGAGGAGAGAGAGAGAGAGAAAGAAAGACAATAAAAGGAAACTGTGAGACACAAGTAGAAATGAAAATATTGAAAGGGCAGTTTCTGCTAAGAGGAAGGCCTCAGGGTCTGGTGAACAGGCCGTACAAGCTGTGGTTAACACTTCACTGGGATTTGCTGCAATCTGTCAGTGGTTTCAACAGTCATTTCATCCACTTGCCTTTGTAAAATAACCTGATACAGTTCCACGAACCATTATTCAACACTGTCATTAACGTGCATTACTTTCCTTACTAAGAGAAAGAGAGAAAGATATAATAAGTCATTTCAAAGCTAGCAAAACACAAAAATACAAAAGAAAAACAATATTTTTAAATGTGAGTAGTTAGCGTATTCTTAACTTGTTGTATACACCTGTATAAAAGTTGTACCTGCACACAATATATACGCATAAAATGTAGATACTTCAGAGAGACGTGGAGAATAGAACCAGGCAAGGAAGTTACTTCTCATCATCAAACAACTCTAGATTACTGTTGATGTATAATAAAACTTTCCTGAGAGTCTACAGTTTGCTGAAGGTAACATATCGTCACTCCCTCAAATTTACAGCCTAGCAGATGTTTCTTATTTAAGTGACTGTGTTCCCACGTGAAATCCACTTTCAC